AGCAATTCAATGTGGAAAGGACCGTCTTTTCAACAAATGGTCATGAAACAATTAGATACTCATATGTTTAAAAAAGAAGAAGAGTCTTGACTATTTCCTTATACACAAAATTTAATATTGTCTTAAAATTGTATTACCTAGGGCGCCTGGGTGGCTCAGTTGGTTAAGTGACTGCCTTCGGCTCAGGTCATGATCCTGGAGTCCCGGGATCGAGTCCCGCATCGGGACTCCCTGCTCAGCGTGGGGTCTGCTTCTCCCTCTGCCCTCTTCCCTCTCGTGCTCTCTGTCTCTCATTCTCTCTCTCTCAAATAAATAAATAAAATCTTAAAAAAAATAGTATTACCTAATATCAATATTACTGAACAGCATACAAAAAATACTAAGAACAAATTAATATGATCAGATGGATCACAGACCTAAATTTAAAATCTAAAATGAGAAAGCTTCTAGAAGAAACCGTGGGGGGGGGGGGAAGAAACACAACAAAACTAAATCTTTTTGGTCTTGTGTCAGCAGGACTTCATAGATAAGACTGGGGAAGCACAATCTATAAAGGAAACCATTGATCCATTTGACTTCATGAAACTTTAAAACTTTTAACCTTCAAAAGATACTGTTAATAAAAAGAAAAGGAAGGTTACCAAAGGGAGAAAATATTTGCCAAGTGAAATCTAATGAAGGGCTTGCATCTGGGATGGCTGCCCGTTTGTGCTAATCAGGTTTATAATCTGTGGCTTCTTTCAGGCTGAAATGTCAGAGAGAAGTGATTGCAGCCCTGACCTGATGGCCCACAAGCATAAAACATTTACTGTCTGGCCGTCTAAGAAAAAGCTTGCCAACTCCTGAGAGACAAAATTTAAAGAACTCTAACAACAAAATAGCAAGAAGACAGATAATCACATTTTTTATGTGCATAAAAGATTTCATCAGATGCTCCACTGAAGAACATATATGGATATCAATGAGAGTTTTGCTGATGCAAAATGTATTTGTTTTTAAGAACTGCTCTGTCCTAATCAGAACAGCTTTATAATAAGTTTTGATCCCTCTTTTGGGCAAAACTTCCCACCTCGTCTAGTTGCTCAGAACTGCTATGGCTCTCCTCGGCCCAGATGCATTTTAGAATCACTTTGTCAACTTTCATTAAAAACCCTTTTACAATTATGATTTGATTGCATTGACTTTGTATATTCATGTGGGCAAATTGACATCTTTCTGATACTAAGTTTTGCCACTCACAGACATGAGGTGTTTTAGGGTTTCTTTGATGACTTTCGGTTCACCAGTTCACAGGGCTTTTTGGTCCCATGATGACCTTATGCATCCCTACTTAGAGCTATCTTTAATACTTTCTAGTTTATGGAATCCTTAAATACTATTATTACTGTTTGCAATGGGTTAGGGACTACTGTATATGAATGTAATTGAGTTTTGAACATTGATCTTATATCCAGCAAGCTTATCACACTCAGACTAGTGCTCATACTATGGACAGTCTCTTCTGTGTAACTCTTACAACATCAATCAACTCACCTAGATTAGTTTTTACCTTCATTAAAGTTACATATGCACACACTTCAAGAGGCAAATAGTTCTATACCTTCTCCATATGAAAACTGGAGCCTCCCAACCTACCACTATTTTCCACCTCCCAGAGGCAACCATTTTCCACTCCTTCAGTTGATTATTTTTAACCAATTCTTGTAGATTCTGTAGACAGATCTCATAGAGCATCGTTATATTGTCTCATCTTGACTTCTCACCCGTAGGCATTATTCACTGACTTCCCACTCTGGATGATGGGGATGCAATGCTTTGTTACTACGGACCCCACACCACATGTGCATATTTCTACCCCACCACCTTAATATTTTAATTTTAGATAACGTCATAGTCAGTATCCACATTATAATGGCAATGACATTGTGTTTTGTAGCTCAACCCTTTTTTTTTCTTTCAAGATCTTATTTAAATTAAAGTTAGTTCACATATAGTGTAGTGTTAGTTTCAGGGGTAGAATTTAGTGATTCACCAGTAACATACAACATCCAGTGCTTATTACATCAAGTGTCTCAACCTTGTAGCATTCCCAGCTTTTGTTTGCATTGATCCTCTCATGTGTATTTTGTGCAGCCACCAGCATATGCAGGACACACAACAGTTTCATGGCCGCAGAGCTTACCCTTGTGCTGGCCTTTCTTAGTGACAGCCAGCCCCACCACCCAATCCTCTGGCACATGCCAATCTGTTCTCTATAACGTCGAGAATGTTGTGGAAGTGGAGTCACACAGTGTGGACATTTTGAGATTGATTTTGTTCACTCCACATGATGCCTTTGGAAACTTACAAGTTGTGCACATGTAGATAAGTTATTCCTTTTTATTGCTGAGTAATTGTTCCTGGTAGGAATGCACCAGTTTGTTCAACCATTCACTTATCACTGGGCATTTTGCACATTTCCAATTCTTTTCCATTACAAAGAAAGCTGCTCTAAACATTCACGCAGAGATTGTGTGAAGCCATGGTCTTCATTTTGTTCAGATAAATGCCTGGGAGTGTGATCTCTGGGACATAAAACCCACTTCCTCTCCTGGAAGAATGGAGGAAATGATGCTTTTTGTTGGAGGCAAGCACATACAACTTCTTTTTTTTAAAGATTTTATTTCTTCTTTAAGTAATCTCTATACCGAACTTGGGGCCCAAACTCACAACCGCAAGATCAAGAGTTGCTCACTCCACCAACTGAACCAACCACACACCCTAAGCACATACAGTTTCTGAAGTCCACACTGCACTGTGCATGTGGGCTAAGTTTACCATTCCATCAATAAAGGGTTGGAATAGGGAGTCATTTCTGGAGCAGACCTCATTCTACCCCAAAACTTTTTAAGCCCTGACGAACCCATTTCTTCCTTCAGCTCAGTAGCTCTTGGTGGAAGCTGGTGCAGAATGAGGCCACAAGCCAGCCACCCCCAAGTGTCCAGGGCTCAGGAGGTAGGACAGAGGCCCAATTGCAGCTGTTTCTTGGCTTGGGCCTCCCAAGTAGAGAATCACCATGAAGACCTCAAGATGGGGGGAAGAGCCCAGTACAGACAGTAGAGGCCCCAGGCGATCAGAAAGCATCATTTCTGCTGAGCCTGTCCACTCTCTCTGAAACATAAGAAGAATTTCTTCCAAATTTTACTTGAGATTGAGTTCCATTTTCAAAGCATTGTGGTCTGAAAATATGCAGGGAATAATCTCAATCTTTTGGTATCAGTTAAGACCTGATTTGTGACCCAGTGTGTGGTCTATTCTGGAGAAAGTTCCATGTGCACTTGAGAAGAATGAGTATTCTGTTGTTTTAGGGTGGAATGTTCTGTATATATCTATGAGGTCCATCTGGTCCAGTGTGTCATTCAAAGCTCTTGTTTCTTTGTTGATTTTCTGCTTAGATGATCTGTCTATTGCTGAGAGTGGAGTGTTGAGGTCTCCTACTATTAATGTATTATTATCAATATGTCTCTTTATTTTGGTTAACAGTTGGCTTATGTAGTAGGCTGCTGCCATGTTGGGGGCATAGTATTTACAATTATTAAATCCTCTTGGGTCTAACCCTTTAAGAATGATACAGTGTCCTTCTGTATCTCTAACTACAGTTTTTAGCTTAAAATCTAATGGATGAAAGACCTCAATGTGAGACAGGAATCCATCAAAATCCTAGAGGAGAACATAGGCAGTAACCTCTTCGACATCGACCACAGCAACTTCTTTCAAGACACGTCTCCAAAGGCAAGGGAAAGAAAAGCGAAAATGAAATTTAGGGACTTCATCAAGATAAAAAGCTTCTGCACAGCAAAGGAAACGGTCAACAAAACAAAGAGGCAACCCACGGAATGAGAGAAGATATTTGCAAATGACACTACAGATAAAGGGCTGATATCCAAGATCTAGAAAGAACTTCTCAAACTCAACATCCAAAAAACAAATAAGTCAAAAAATGGGCAGAAGACTTGAACAGACACTTCTCCAAAGAAGACAAGAAATGGCTAACAGGCACATGAAAAAATGTTCATCATCATTAGCCATCAGGAAAATTCAAATCAAAACAACATTGAGATACCACCTTACACTAGTCAGAATGGCAAAAATTGACAAGGCAAGAAACAACAAATGTTGGAGAGGTTGTGGAGAAAGGGGAACCCTCTTATACTGTTGGTGGGAAATCAAGTTGGTACAACCTCTGTGGAAAACAGGGTGGAGGTTCCTCAAAATTAAAAATAGAGCTACCCTATGACCCAGCAATTGCACCACTGGGCATTTACCCACAGATACAGATGTAGAGTAAAGAAGGGCCACAGCATCCCAATGTTCATAGCACCAATGTCCACAATAGCCAAACTGTTAGAAAGAGCCAAGATACCCCTCAACAGATGAATGGATAAAGAAGATGTGGTCTATATATACAATGGAATATTACTCAGCCATCAGAAAGGATGAATACCCAACTTTTGCGTCAACATGGATGGAACTGGAGGAGATTATGCTAAGTCAAATAAGTCAAGCAGAGAAAGTCCATTATCATATGGTTTCACTTATTTGTGGAACTTAAGGAATAGCAGGGAGGACATTAGGAGAAGGAAGGGGAAAATGAAGGGGGGAAATTGGAGGGGGAGAAGAACCATGAGAGACTATGGACTCTGGGGAAAAAAGCTGAGGGTTTTAAAGGGGAGGGGAGTGGGGGATGGGTTAGCCTGGTGATGGGTATTAAGGAGGGCATGTATTGCATGGAGCACTGGCTGTTATAAACAGTGAATCATGGAACACTACTCAAAAACTAATAATGTACTGTCTGGTGACTAACATAACGTAATAAAAAAAAAATAAATTAAAAAAAAAAGTAAGAAGAGGACCTTCTTACCATGTGAGGCCTTCTCTGCCTGACTTCCGTTTCACAATCCAGAAGCAGGTTGCTGTCCCACAGCCGTGTCACTGCATCATAGACACTTCCTCTTCTATCACAGGAGGAGTGGGGTTTTCTTTCCATAGAACAGAGGCCCCATCTCCCCAGTACACACATTTGCAGAGAGCTGGATCCTCAGGCCTCCACAATGTCGGCCCCTGCCTCTGGACCCTGCCTTCCTTACCTGCTGCTGGCTCTGCTGTTGGGACTCACAGGTAAGCATTGCCTTGGGGGAGACTCCCCATTCCCTGCCCCCTCAACTTCTCCTTGCCCCTGGACATTTAGGGCCTCCAGGTAAGCACAGGTGTGCTACCCAGACCCTCCACAGAAGGCCACGGACTGGGTGTCATCTGAGAGCATGAAGTCAGGGATCTGAGCATTTCCTCTATGGATCCATCACCCGCAGCTAGTTACCAGAGGCGTCCAAATAGTTGATGCAATTGGTAACAATGACAACTTTGTGTGTGTTCATTGATCTAATATTCACAACATCCCTGCCTGATAGCTCAGACTGTACTCCTGATTTGCAGATGGGGAAACTGAGGCAGAGAGAAGAACCAGCCCAGTGTCACCTACCTGAGTCAGTGGAGCAGTTGGGATTCCTGTCCAGGCCACTCAACTCAACAGTTCATTCCGTTCACCATCTTATGCTGCTTGGCTCCTCAGTGGAGGCTAATTGCAGAAACATCAGAAAACACAGAGAGGCAAACGGAAGAATAGCCATCACTTATCACACTCAGAAGTCTCCAGAGTTCCACTTGTGCTGTGTGTACTTACAAACTTTTGTTAATGATGTGCTGGATGTTTCCAATGTGCCAAAATTGTTACTGAAGTTTAACATGTATTATAATTTCACTTAATCCTCAAAACAATCTGTATACTAGCATGCTAGGCTACACTTTACATAAACAGGGAATGAACTTACCTGTGTGTGTGTGTGCATAGGAGTGGGCATAGGGAAGGGTATACTCATGCATGTGAGCACACACATGGATTTTTGAAAACACTTTGCTTTTTCTCCTCATATCACATCCAGTCTATGTGAGATGCACATTGAACAGATGTTTGGCTCCCTGTCTCTCAGCTACTCACCCTCTACTTTAATTCTCTAAACCTACCTCTCACCCTCCACCAAGCTCTTAAGTTAAACAAACTTCTCTCTTGGTAAAATGAGTAGAACCTTTCGCATTACTACCTTAGAGATCCTCCCATGCTGGACTCAAGTGGGCTAGGAAAGAAGGGGATAAAAATTTGGAGACTCCTGCCTGTGTGATCTGCATCTGTAATTATATCCATATGCATATCAGGATCCATTCATCTAGTGTCCACTGATGTCTCCATGCCTCAGGAAATCTCATGAGTGATAATTTTCTAAGTTCCTGAGCACTCACCATGTGCCACACACACCTGAAAATGCCTATGTCCATTATGTCATGTGATCTTTGCATCCAAGGTAGACATTCTTGTCACCCCCACCTTGCAGACAAGAAAAGGAGGCACAGAAAAGTCCAAGGTCACTCAGTATAAATGGTAGGGCTAGGATTTGAAACTAGGCAGTCTGATTCTAGATCTCACAGGTCTAACCATTGCTCTTTTCAAATCCTATGGCCCCACTTCCATCCCATGAGATTTCTGCAGATCTTCCAATCAGTGTGTGGAAGGGTTTGGTGTGGTGAAGAACATGTGTAGTTTGCTTCTCTCACATGCTTCTGCTCTCTGGGTATATGCAAGTGTATGTTTCCTCCAAGTCATCTATGTGGGAAACTCAGCTTCTGATACAATGTCCTAAGTAATTCTCCACTGAAAATAGACTTCATGGTGTCAGAAAGGGTCACATTGGCAAGTCACACATTATACAAATATTAACTTTATACCTACTAGGTGACAAGAACTGTTACATGAACATAGGGCATATTGATGAATAAAAGAGACAAAGAAGTGGCCCTCGTAGAAGTCCCATCATAGTGGAGGAAAGGACAGGAAACAATAGACACAACAAATCAAGAAATAACATAGAAAACAGAAAGTGATGAGTGTGAAAGAAAACACATGACAGTAGAGCTGGATACGACAATGAGAGAATCTTCAGGGTAAGATGTATTTGAACAGGTAGCCTGGATGGGCATCATTGAGAAGGTAGAATTGAGCAAAGATTGTAAGAAGGTGGGGGAGTGAGCCATGTGATTTTCTGGGGGAAGAGCCTTCTTGGACAGCGTGAGAGTAGAACCCTCTTGCTCTACTCAAGGATCTGGGCTTTTATTCTGAATGAAATGGTGGCTATTGCAAGGTTTGGAAGACAGGGGAGACATGATCTGGCATGAGTTTTAGAGTATCCTAGCATTTGGTTGAGAATGGAGTACCACAGGGCATAGATAGAAGCAGCTAGAGCACTCAAGAGCTCATTGCATCCAAGCAAACAAGGAAAAGCACCAAGACAGCAGCCAGGAGGAAGGGGAAAGAGGTCAGATTGTGGGTGCATGCAGTAGGGGAGCCCTTAGGGTGTCCCGGTGCATAGGACTTGAGGTGGGAAAGAAAGGCACCCAAGGGTTGGGACCTAAGCATCTGGGAAAATAAAAGTGCCTCAGCTGAGATATGCAAGCATGTGTGGGAAACTGAGTTCGGTTTAGGACATGTTACTGTGACAGGTTTACTTCTATCTAAGACAAAAGTCGAATGGTGGTTGGACATACAAATTGTAGTTCAGGGGCAAGGTCTGGGCCAGAGATGGAAATAGGAGGATTATAGATATGCAAATGGTAGAGTTTTCCCCTTTCCTTGGCTCCTCTTGACTCTCTGATCCCTCTGACCTCTTCCCTCCCATGTTCCCTCCATTTCTCCCTCCATGGTGCATTCCTATTTCTTCCCATTTTTGTCCTAGCAGTTCAGCTTGCCGACCTCAATCTTCTGCAGACTTAGAAACCAAAGTGCCTGATGTTCTTGGCACACCCAAGACCTGCCTGTAATAGCACGTGCCCTCCTTAGGAGGCAAGTTTGGTTGCAAATACTGTTAAGTGCATGGGTTCACTCTGCAAGGGTGAACCACAGATTTTCTCCCTGAGGAGTAGTTAAGAAATGGAAAAGAACACTGGGTGTATGAGTCGTGCCACAGCAGGATTTAAATCCCTGCCTGGTTTTTAGGACACTTCAGGTAAGCAGGAATGATTTCATATTTCTTGATGTCTCCGGGCACTAGCTAGTCACCTAAGCAGGAAATCCAACTGCAAAGTCAAACCTGCTCTGTGCCACATCACTGAGTGTCTCCGTGTCTTCATCCTCATTTGTGATACGGTCTCACGTTACAGGCTCGTGGTGAGGACTGCATGCCACGTACATGCAACGTGCCTAGGTCAAGGCCCGCTCACGGTGCGCACTCACTCACTGAGCTGTTGTGGATACACACGTGAGGAGACACCCAGGATCACGTCAGGATGATCTTTGTTTTCCCTCCAGGTGTGGCAGGTGAGGCGGAGCTGCAGGTGATCCAGCCTGAGAAGTCAGTGTCTGTCGCAGCCGGACAGACAGCCACTCTGCGCTGCACCCTGACCTCCCTGCACCCCCTTGGGCCGGTTGAGTGGTTCAGGGGAACAGGGCCAGCCCGGGAGTTAATCTTCAGTTTCAGAGGAGGCCACTACCCCCGAGTGACA